GCATATTAACACGGAAAAATTGCAGGCCACAGTCCTACTGATCGCCAAAGAAAGTATTATGATATTTTTCATCATCCCTTCTATCGCTGCATTCCATGGGCAAGGCTAGCAGAAGACTCAGATGATGCTATGCTTTACACAAGGTACCAAAATAGAAATCAAAATAGCAATACTTTCGCTTTCAAATGGTCAAAATCCGTCGCCAAAGTCGGTACATTAATGTCTTCATCAGGTTAAATCAAGGATGACGTTTGTGTTCGCTATACGTGCTCTAATTCAAATTCAAAGACCGAAAACGTTTTGCAAATGCTCTTTATTAATTAGACGGTCATTTAAATGTAGTAGACTAATACAAGCAAGATAGAGATTGAGAGAACCGTTTCACACTTAAACAAAACAAGCCCGAACGAACTTAATGGTAAAAACGAAGGGCGATTGGTCTGCGCAGCTTCGCTCGTTGAATATTTCTCTTACGACGCAGTGGTGGTTCCATGCCCAGTTCAGGTTCAAAGTCAAATATGTTCAACTTGGCTTCCAGATAGCTCCTTCTGCACGACTCTTCGTTTGGCAGCACTTCGCAAATAAACGAAGTCGCCAGAGAGACGGTTGTAGCCCCACTGCATTTTTGGAAGTCCTTCAGCAGCCTGCTTTGGAAGTGATACTGCATGCAGTGGCAAAACGAGTCTTTATTTTCGTTCAGTTGTATGAAGCATTTCTTCGATAGCCTAAAAGTCACTATTTGGTGATCGACAAGTCACTCAAACACTGAAAACTTGGAGCAGTCACACAACAGTGATATTTGAAAGCAGCACGGTCTGTTTTATGCGCGATGCAAGCAATTGTACGATCGGTTGATTCGTTCTTCGGTCAACGTCTCACGAGCTTCCATCAAAGGGTAAATGAGGGCAAGTTTTAGAAATACATTCCGCCATTTGCAACAGCTCGCACATACAAAGCCAAAACATCTATAGCACTTAAATGGAAGGCAGTTATTTTTCAAACGTAATTTGACTTTTTTGGTAGTTACGCTCTACCGTGACTGCCAGGAAACGCCGATATCACCATTTTGACTCCACATAGCAAATTCTCATCTCAGTTACAGTATTTTATTGCTCTGCGGTTGAATTTTCTACAGCGATGAACACTGAAGCCAGTTCAAGGAACGTGTGGAGACTCAATGTCTTGATTGTGACCTGTGATATCTTCTAACTTAGGAATTCCTTGAACTTCACCAAATCGAAAAGATCACCTTCAACCTTCGTACTGATATTTTTTAAAATCATTTTATGGCATGCTACTTCCATCAGCGTTAAAAATGCAATTTATCCACTATATCTCCTGCAATATCTAAATTTTTTAAATGATGTGAAATAACAGGGCATATTATTTCTATTTTGAAACAGATGTGCACGGGAATTACGTCTCGTATTAAAGTTGGAACGAGGTTATCCAAACAGTTCAATATTAAAAAGGCAATTCGCCAAGGATATGAAATTTTGCATCCGCTATTCAACACTGTCTTCGACTTTTTCCTCCAGGCCAAAGCGAACCTGAACTAAAACGATGGTACGGTGGGGCGTGCAGCTCAACATATCTGGCCGGATATCTTAACATATTTGCCTGAAGTACGCAGATATGATCGTCGTTGTGCATCGTATGCGAAGTGAATTGGTCCATCTGATGCGCATTTGACGCAGATGCGAAAGGCGGTCGCTTCTTTAATGCTCAGGCGCTAAAATTCTGAGAAACCGATCCATGGCGAAACAGAACCGAAAAAGCAGCAGGAAATTGAAACAGGAAAAAGAGTTGACTAGTTTCTGCGCTTTGGTTCAACCGTCTCTACAGACGAAC